TGCAGAACTCAAATTCTAGTAAGAAGACCAGACTTAATGGTCTGACTGAGACTGGAGGAACCCTGGAAAGCATGGCCCCTGGATTGTCTATCAGCCCAGAACTAAGACAATTTCCAAGGCCAACTCTTCAGACAGGGATTGGACTAGACTGTGGGGCATAAAGTGAGACTCATGAGGAATGTGCCTCTTAGCTAAAGCAGATACAAGATACTAAACAGACAGCTTCTGTCTGGACGTGAGACGGGAAAGCAGAGAGGATTAGGAGCTGGTTGAACGGACACAGGGAATCGGGTATGGAAAGAAGGAGTGTATGGGGACAGCAATTAGAGTTACAAAACAAAGTATGTATAAATTTTTTTATGGGAAAAAAGAAAATTGCCAACCATTAATGAAAAACATAAAGGGAATATATTTTCAAATTAACTTCAATTCCAGCTGTTCTTTTTTAGTGTATTGTGTAGTCGTGATGAAACATACTTCCAGCTGTAATTCTGTATACTTTCTTCTAAGTTCAGTGACTTCTTCTCCAGCCTGCATCTTCTTATATAAATCCAGTTCTGTGTCAAGCAATTCTTTCTGCATCTAAAAAACAGTAACTAATTAATATTTTAGGTGACAATAATTAATGTATTTATACAAAACTTTTTATAAAAAATTTATACATGTCCCCATTAATCCATACATTTCTTCTCTATCTCCAGTACCCAAGTCCAAACCATCAACCATCTCTGGTATAATCTACTGCAATAGCTTCCTAACTTGTTGCTACTTCCACTGATTTCCCTATGATTTCACTCTCCATACAACAGTCTGAGACTGATACGGAATAATTTTCAGAACAATAATTGTTAAACAAACAAAACAACATGCTAACAAGTAATACAGTATCTTTCCTTTAGGCAAGAATAATAAATACATGTATATACATATGTGTATATGTTTGTATGCATGTACATTTCTGTATGTATATATAAATATTATATATGTATATACAGTATTTGCTTATAGCTACAAGAAGACATTTTGGGATCAACCAGCGATCAATGATATTGGTCTGATTTTGAGCAAAAGACATTACCTAAAACAAAAACTAAATCTAATGCAGTGTTTAATGTTTTTTAATAAGTAGTAATATGAATAGTCACACTTAAAATACCTGAGTCTTGGTTTTTATACTCTTTGGAAGACAGCGTCCAGGAGAAGCAGCTTTGACCTCATCTTTTAACTTTGTAATGTTTTTTGTCAAAACTTCTAAAGTTTTCATTATTTCTGCTTTATCTTCAGACTTCATTGCTTTGTTCTTCTCCAGTTTTGAAATTAGCATCTGCCAGTTTTAAAAAAACAGAAAAATGAAATTGAAGATATTTTCTACTATTATTAACCAAACACAGTAAAGTAAATATAACTACTTTTAGTGGAAGTATTCATGACAAGGCCAACAACCACAATGTATCTAAAGACAGCAAATCATAGTAAATTTGGTGATGTTAACTATTTCAGTTCAAGCCCTATCCTTAGTTTAATTTGTGAAGAACTATATCACTATTTGCGTCTCTTAAGACCTAAGTTCAAAGCACACAATCAGAAGAAACCCAATTTGATCACTGAAAAGCTGCCAATTTGAAGTAACACCAACAATTTTACTTTCTAATCCATTTGTTGACATTACTGCCTCTACTTCTCACTCCAAATGTAGTCTGCAGTTCAGAAAGAACCAGAGTAAAGTTTTAGGGTTCCCTTCATTTACTGAGATAGTAGAAAAACTGAATGATAAGTGACCAGCCTAAGAATGACATCCTCAACAAGAACAGGAAACAAGAAGGAAAGCAAGGTAATATGGTGTGGGAGAAGCCACACAATATTACAGGTTCTCTAAGTCAAGACAGCTACAGGTTTTGGTATAAAGCACTGTGATTTCTCTTTATCAAGTATATGCAAATTTAAATTAGAAAAAAACATCCATTTCAAGTAGAAACAAAGTTTCTGTGTTTTCAATATTTTGAAATATATCACTAACCTTAATTATCAGACATAATCATGAACTCACTCTAATTAAATGTCATAAATTGGAGCAATGATGTCCAACAGAAATAATGTAAGCCACGGAAGTAATTTTAAATGTTTAGCAGCCACATTACAAAAGATAAAAAGAAACAAGTAAAAATAATTTAGTAATATGTTATTATATATACCCAAAATGCTACTTTGACATATAACCAATATAAAAAATTACTGAGATATTTTATCTTTTTTTGTACCAAGTCTTCAAAATTTAGAATGTATTTTATACTTAAAGCACATGTCAACTCAGACTAGATTTTTGTTTCTTTTTTGTATTTTATTGTGTTTTTGGTAAAGGTTTACACAGGAAATTAGGTTCTCATTTCACAATTTCTATACATACTGTTCAGTGACATCGATTACACTCTTCAACAATATATCAATATATATTCTCGTTATTTCCATTTTGGCTGTTCTGTTTCCATTAATCTAGCTTCCCTCTCCTCCTCAGCCTTCTCATGTTTGGTCTAGGGTAGATGTTAACCATTTGGTTTCATCTAAATGATTATTCTGAGGAGCACAGTACTCATGGGTGATATTATTTACTTTAGGGGCCAATCTGTCATTTCACTGAAAGGTGACCTCTGGGAGTTGTTTGAGTTCCAAATGTAAAGAACTTCTCAGAACAACAGTCTCGGGAGTTCATCTAGTCTCTACCAGTCCAGTAAGTTTGGCCATTTTTTAGGAATTTCAGTTTTGTTCTACATTTTTCTCCCATTCTATCCAAGATCATTTATTGGGTCAAGCCTGGGTATTTTTGAAGTACTCAACAGCCATATGTAACAACAGCTACTGCACTGGAGAACAAAGGATCAGAGGATTCCAAGCCAATAAAAAAAAGTACATATCTCAACATTGTGAAAAGGGCCCCATTTCATTATCTAAACACACTACTGTGCAGAAACTTAGCTAGGTAAATACTACCTTATATTTTCATTTCAAGTTCATAACCATAGTTCCATTTAATCTATAACTGCCATTTAATATATGCCTTCCGCTCAGATACAGTAACATTAATAAACATTTCAGTCTTACCATTACAATCTACAGTAAATGTGTTTCTCAGAACTACCTATACAATACAAGACAAAATTCGCTCAAAACTTTCATTTGCCAATTTTGTAAAATCTAACTCGGACATCGTACCTTCTGTGTTTCAATGTGCTTTTCTAAAATTTCTTGTTTCCTTTTCCTTACATCCTGCTGAAGTTTCAATGCCTCCTAGAGGAAGGGATCAAAAATAATAGTAGAATATTACATTTATTTTCCAACAAAAAAGAAGTTGGAATTGCAGAAGCTTGTCAGCAAAAATCAAATGCAAAGTTTTGCTATTTAAAACTTACAAGCACACAAGTTTCAAAAATCTCTCAAGAGAACCTGTCATTCCAAGAAAAAATTAATATTTACTACCACACTATGGAAGATAAAGTTGAGTGACAGCCAACACACTTTTAAGTACTATGTTGTGATAAGCACTGAAAGAAACAAAATTATGCAGAAAAGCTTTATTACATACAAATTTTGTGCATCGTACTAGCTGAACTTACCTGTTTTTTTTTCTGTGCTTCATTATTATCAACTGCAGAGGTGGAAACAAGTAATGCTTTTTGTGCAGCCTTCAAAGCAGCTGGATTATACACCGTTTTTGTTAGGCCAGTAGACGTAGACAACACCTACCAATAAAATTCAATTTCTTAAAAATGTTTCAACCATTCATGATTTTCTAAGTCTTATTTTCTACAAAACTCAACTGTAAAGCACCCTCAACAAAATTTAGCATTTTGAACTAAATACATTATACATTTCTAATAACTCAATCACATTTTGTGATTTGAAAGAAAGGGTATGAATGAGGGTTAGATACACCCTAAAATGAAAGAAATTTAAATTAATACCAAATACTTTACAAAGCAAAAATATACAAAAAAACTAAAAAAAAAAAAAAAAAAAAAAAAAAAAGCATATTGTCATCGGTGAGAAAATACTAAGTGCTGAATACATTTAGTGACGTTTAGAATACATTTAGAACACAATTCTAGCAACTAAAACAAAAACCGTACACAAGAAGAAACTGGCGTAAGAGGAAAATGGATACCGTCCCTTAAGCAATTTAATATGATCATTCGCAATTTGCAGTTCTGAAGTAAATGCTATTACTTTCTTTCATTCCTTTTCCTAGCACTGCTCCTTCTGCTTGAAGTGGCCTACCCCTTAAACCCAGCTCAGGTTCAGCATAACACAATTAATACCTCCACAATGCTCCAATCACTTCTCTCTTCTATGTAAGTGCTTCTATGAAATTTTATTCTTTCATTTATTGTAACATTTAATAAAACTGACCTGATATTATTTCACGTCTCTCTCCCCGTCTACACAGTAAGGGCCTTAAACAAGGACAATGTATTTTTCTTCTTTGTGCTTCTTCCAGTACCTAAGCCCTGCCACCAACCAATTATGAGAGCTTGGGTAACATGAAATACCTTTCTGGGTCCCAGTTTGCTCATCTAGAAGTCGTTCTTATGTCCTTAGGAACTCCAAAATTCATTCCATGGGGTAGGATTTTTTTTTTTTTAGGGGGGCCATTTGGTTCACTGTTATATCTTCAGCACCTTAACAGTGCATAGACACACAGTAGATACACAATAAACACTTTAGCACTATATTAAACAAATGATTCTAAATCGGGTGGAAAACCTTTTCTAGGCAAGGTCAAGTCAAGAAAGGCTGCCTTTTTTATGCTTCAAAAACAAAACAGTTGTAAGTTCCACTGGGAGGTGGTTAAGTGGTTCTTAAAAAGGCATTTAGGAGGGATCCCTTCGGGGAGATCTATGAGTGCCACAAAACTAAACATGAAACCAGGTGTATGAACACTGCAATTTTCCAGAGGGAACAACGTAGCTTCCAAAACCTTAAGAGCATTCGTGACCTATAAAAGATTACAGGAACTACTGAATAATATCAATGGAATGGAATAATATCAGAGACAAAGGGCCCTACTTTTTAGCTACTAAAATGTTAATATCTGAGAAGTAGCAACCTGAAGACCACTTTTTTTCATCATGAAATTAAATTGGGGCATATCACAAAGCTAAGCAGACTATATATGGCCTACAGGTCTCAGGCCACTTATCACTATTCTGTGTATTCAAGAATGTCTTAACCTCTAAATGAAATAAAAACCAGGAATACTATAACTACACTAATTCTACACAGCATAACGTTTAAGGCTCTTTACGATACGTGACATGCATCAAAATATAACTAAAAATTTTCTTACTTTAAAAATGAAAACTAATACTCAGATACCACTAACAAATATGAAATGGTTGCACTCAGTAAAATATAGATGAAACATCTGTAGTTTAACTTCAATCAATATTCACTGCAAATTGTGGAGAAAAATTTCTTCCATGCTATCTTACCATACAACCCAATTCCAAATTATACAAGGGTGAAACAAATTTACAAGGGGAGAGACACAAAACAATCTGCTCAAACAGAGGCTGTTTCAGACTGTTTTCTTCGAGAGGATTCCATAACAAGTTTGTGATCAAAAAGATTTCTATATTTAAATAAACTGGAAAGAAACAATGAATATTATAACCCTATTTTCTAGTTTCAAAATACACATTGTCATAATAAAAGCTCTGAGAAGCCTAAAAGGAAAGAAAGCCATATAATTCATTTAATCCAGCATTTATCCAACTTCAGTGAGTACAGAACACCCCTTTTTAAAGCATCTTTATTAACACCCTGTTATCAGACAATGGAGTGCTGTTCAAAGTGAATAAAAGTATCTGACAAGAATGAGAAGATCCCTTTATTCTTAGAAGCATTCCCACTCCTTTGCTTTCTCCAGGAATTTCCTTCTGTAAAAACAGAACAGCAGCTAACATACTTCAATAAACCAAAGACATCACTATTAAGACACACTATTATTTTAAGTACCTTTACTAAAGAAAAAAAAAAAGTTGCCAATTGTAATCATATAACAACAAAAATTATAAGATGCAGCCCAATTTCAGGGGTGTTAAAATGTGAAAATAAAATATGTCTTAGAAACAATTAGTTATATTACAAATACCCTTCACTATGAATCTATTTGGTTCTAGAGTTTAGGTAGTAAGAGTTTGGATAGCAAGGGATATACCCATTTTCAAAAGATGAAGATAGAGCTGTGATAAAAGAAAAGAAAATCTGTTAAAAAACCAGTAAAAAGTGACAAATTCAACAGAAAAAATGCTCACAATTTCTAACAGTCAAAGCAAAGTCAGTGGCCTTTCCAAACTAACCACACACCTTCTCTATTTTCCACGAGTTTCTGTATGTGCTGTAGTTTTACATATTAACCTTATATCCAGTGACCTTACTAAATTCACTTACTAATTCTAGTTGTGAATACTTTTGGATTTTCTACATACATAATCATATCATCTGTGAGTAAACACAATTTTAATTCTGCCTTCCCAATGTGTATAATCTTTATTTCCTCTTCTTGTCTTACTGTATTAGCTAGGACTTCCAGGACGGTGTTGGATAGGAGTGGTGGGAGGGGATATCCTTGCCTTGTTTCTGATTTTAGATGGAAAGTCTCTAATGTCTCACAATTGAATACAACGTTAGCTGTAGTTTTCTGTTCTTTTTTTAGTAGATATCCTTTATTAAAGAAGTTTCCTTCTATTCCTAATTTGCAGATTCTTTAACATAAATGAATAGAATTTTATCAAATGTTTTTTCTGTCTCTATCAAGATAATTACATGGATTTTGTTTTTGTTTTTTCAATCCCTTCCTTATTCTGTTAATGTGGTGAATTAAACTGCTTTCCAAATGTTAAACCAACCATGTATTTCTGGTATAAATCCTATATATCACTGGACATTTCTGTTAATATTTAGTTCAGGATTTTTGTGTCTATGTTCATAACAGATATCAGCCTGCAATTTTCCTCTTTTGTAACATCCTTGTCAGAGACCTGGTGGCATAGTGGTTAAGAGCTATGGCTGCTAACCGAAAGATCAGCAGTTCGAATCCACCAGCTGCTTGGAAACTCTATGGAGCAGTTCTACTCTGTCCTATAGGGTGGCTATGAGTTGGAATCAACTTGATGGCAACCGGTTTGGTTTGTCTCTTTTTTTAATATCCTTGGTGGCGCAGTAGCTAAGTGTTCGGCTGCTAACCAAAAGGTTGGCAGTTCAAATCCACGAGCCACTCCTTGGAAATCCTATGGTGGGGGGGGGGCAGTTCTACTCTGTCCTATAGGGTCACTATGCACCAGAATCAACTCGATGGCAACAGGTATGGTTTTGGACGGCAGTAGGTTTTGTCAGGCTTTGGTATCAAAGTTACACTGGACTCATAAAATGAGTTGAGCAGTATTATTTGCTGTATTTTTTAAATGTATATCATTAATACCTCTAACTTCCCAAGAAAAAAACCAATCCCTTGAAGAGGTAGAGGTTATAATCCATTAACACCTCCTTATCTTTATTTCCTATATATTATCAGCTATAAACTACTACCAGTACTTGTAAAGAAAAACAGCTTTTTCTTCTGAATAAAAACAGAAGGGAAAAAAAGTATTTGGTAAAAATTACACAAATGAAGGTTATTATAAATTAAGTCATCCAAGTATTATTTTTCAATAACCAATGCCCAAGACGGAATCAAATACAAAAGAAATGCAGTTACGACACTTAACAGCTAACACTCACATTAAGCTAGCTCTAACACGTTCATTCATGTTACTCCTTTAAAACAGCGTATCTATACAGCAAAACTTCACTTTGTAGAATTTCTAGCAGGAGTAACAAGATTTTAGTTTAAAGTTAAATTGAAAATATTTTTAGAGATTAACAGTTTTGTATCTTTCAAGAATACTAAGTAGCTCAAAACAGACAAAAGGATAAAGATCTTGAGGATAAATATTTAGTATCAAAGAAAAACATAGTTTTTAATCAATTTCTGTGACAACAGCTTGGTCCCCAGAACTTTCAACAAATAATTTGAAATAAATTATATTTTCCTGAAAAAAAAAAAAAAAAAAAAAAACTGAGGTAATAATCCTGACAGAGGCTAACTCTATAAAAAATAAATTAAAAAATAACTGTCAATAACGCTTATGAAAAGAAACGCAACTATCATAAATCTCCATCATCTTTATATTTAAAGTAGCAAAATTACACAACAAATCCAAATTAAAAGACCAAAGGGTTATTAGAATGAATGCATTTTACAGTTAAGGAAACAGAGAGTAGGACTTGTTCAAGATCATACTGAGTGTCAGCTGCTAAATCAACAACTGAAGCCTCTACATGACATGCAATGCTCTTTTTCACAATTATACCACTCAATTTCCTTTTTAATAGTACCACAGAACAGATGTTAACATATCATCATGCAAAGGAATCAAGATATATTTTTAGTTTGCAATGAATACTACTCAAGAACAATACATCCTATGTCGTAAATTTGATCTACTCAAAGTGATATGATGGACAACAGAACATGAAATACTCGATTATCCAGTTTGCCTTCTTACAAAATTTTAGAAGAGTTTTAAGGAGATAATACAGTCTAATTTTTTTTTAAACTAGCCAAATGGTATATAAAGATGCCACCTTTATTCTTCATACAATCCCTCTACAGTAAGCAGAGGCACTCAAGCATCATTTCACTGACCACTCTACTCAAACAATAGCTATTGCAATATTTGAATAGTTAGCAGCACCAATCAGGTTTTAAGTTCTCTCTCGCGGCCTTCTCACAAAAATGGAAATCTCTGAATATAGAAGGATCACTAAAGGCTATACTTGCTGTTGTTTATAGAAAGGGGATAAAATTTTACATTTGTGTACTTAATTTCCTGTAACAATGACAGAAAATACTATGTAGACACCAGCTTTGAGCTTTCTCCTGCCTTCAATTTTAAAAAATGTTTTTAAGTAAGATCTGATGATGGCAAACATTTTTCTATTCTTCTTAAGACGTTTCTGAATCACTCTTAGGATTCTGCAGCAAAAATCCCAACAAGCTAGGGAAACAGAAACAACCAAGAATAAGCAAGAATAAAATGCTACTCTGTAAGCAGGTTCACTAGATGCCTGAAAGTTTGTACACTTGTAATTTTTTTTTCTTATAAAGATTTTTTACAGTATTAACTTAGCATTTTTCCCACGTAAATAGCCCATTACTATTAGTGATTTTTTTCACAAATTCCATTAGGGGTAACTATATCAATAAAGTTATACCATCAATTCCAAACTTGTGCTCATTTTATTATAAAGTCATATAAAACACCTTAAAAATAATGAAAACAGTAGTAAAACATTACAAAAATTTTGTAAAAGTTAATGATGAGTGCATACTTTGACATAAACAAATCCTAAACATAATTAATCAGATATTTAAAAGTCCCCAAAATTGCTCAGCAGTATACTAAGTATAGCAGACTTTATATTATTTTTTTATTCCTGAATTACTTGTTATCACAGAGGATAAGCTTAAAGCAAAAGTTCGATACTGCGAAAGGCAGTAGCATAAACTAAGCAACAGAGAAATTCAGAGGAAAGGGGCAGTGGTGAGTCATTATATGAAAAATTTTAGAGAGTTTATGGAAGAGGTTAGAGAGATTCTGAATACTTAAAGGATGATCAGAACTCAGTTAAGCAAAGGAAAAAGACTTCCAGGAAAATCAGCAGCAGAAAAAAAGAAAAAGGCAGGAAAGGGCAACAGACAATGAGCAGAAAAGCATTTCCTAGCGTGGAAGAAAAAGACTAGAAGTAAACAGGACCAGTAAATTTAGACATGATGAGCTGTGAATCAAGTAACTTAGGTGAGAAATTCAAAGTTTTTATAATGAATTAACATTAAAATAAGTCTGAGAGTAGGATGGCAGCAGTGTAAACTAGAGGAAGAGAATTCCAGGACGCCAGCTGGGACACTACATCCAGAGGCTGGGGTACTGAAGGTGGGAGAAAAAAGCAAGTGGACCACAAAATCAAGTAAACGATTCCAAGGCTTTTAGATTGCACAACTTAGAAAATGGCAATATACTTCAAAAATTGGGTGCCAGGAAAAGTAGCTAACTTATATGGGAAATAATGAATTCATTTTAGGCATGTTATGCCTGAAGTAATGCTCAGATGCCCAAGAGGGAAGTCTAGTACACAGAATGAGATTCAGATTCAAATTCCTAATATTGCCAAAGTTGAAAACAATAAATAAGGAAAATAATATAAGGAGGAACCAGTAAAGATAGCGGATCAGCTATCTCAGGGGATGCTCTATTTACCCATGAAGCCAATTTCCCTTGTAAACTTCATAATGGAAAGGGCCATGGACTAAAAATAGGAAACCCAGATTCTAGTCCAGCTCAGTAACTCACTGTATAGAGTCAAACTATAGAACTATTTAGGCCTTAACTTCTTTTTTAAGGTAAAAATAAAGAAATGAGAAAGATTATCTAATTCTAATATTTGGTGATCTCACATGCCTAAAACTATGATAAGACTAAAGATCAGGGCATTCATTCACACATAAACAAACAAACAAAAAACACATCTACACAAATCTATCAGACGGGCCCCACAAATGATCTTAATTTAGTCAGGATTTATCCCCCATTCAAAAATAGAAATGACTAAATTAATTGTCAGATTATACCAATAGCTGTTAGTAATAAATAAAAACTTACATTTACATCATCCTTTCCAGTTTATAAAATACTTTTAATAAATGATTTTATTTGATCCTCACAAAACCCTGTGAGCAAGACAAATATTACATCACCATTTAACCAATAAGGAAAAAGATTCAAAAAGGTTAAGAGCTCTGCCCAATGTCATGCAGTTAGTAAGTAAGGAGCCAGGGCTCAAACCCAGGTAAAATTCCTAATCCATGGCTCTTTCAATTACGCTGCCAGAGTTGTCAAATTAAAATGTATAATATCTCTAAAGAAAATAAAAAGGATGGAGCACATGGCAATATAGTGAAAGGCAAGTATTAAAACACTGATGCAAAAAGTAAAAAAAGATAAATATTTTTCTTTTTCAGTGACTGGAAAGCAAAAGGTAGGAATAAGAGATAAAGATACTATTAAGAAGCCAGAGTTTAGAACTATGAAAAAAATTAAAAAATTAAGATGCCTCCTGAAAACATTTATGAAGCCAAGACAAACACATCATGCTATTCTTCTTACCTTTTCAGTTGCTGAAACAGATGGCTTTGATACAAAACCCAACCTGTCCTTCACAGATAACTTAGTTACATTCTAAAAAAATTAAAATGGACATATTCAGTGTTTCCCCAAACATATATAGGTCTGTTGGGTTTTGAACATTCTGATTTTATTAATACAAATTGAGTCTACGAGCATACTGATGCTAAACACAAAAACTTGGAACTTTTTAAAACAGAGTAACAAAAAGAAAACGTGGAAAAAAAAAACAATATGTAATATTACTCAATTATGAAAAATTATGATGTAAAGTAAGAGGCTTAAATCAGGTGATTGGTAAGGTCCCTTCCACTAATACAGAATCATAAATTCTTAGAATCCTATGTTGACAAATAGAAGGTCTGAACATTTTAAATATTAAAGTAAAATATCTGCCTGCTTCTCCAGCTTAAAAATAAAAGCCCTTCTTTTCTAAAGTATGTTTGCTTTAGATCTAAGTACACGGTTATTTGCTGATGATTTAGGATACCAGGGTTGGTTATTTTTTTAGTAACTAATAATTTACCAATTTATATTCTGCATATTTTCACATAATCTGATTACCTTAGTCTTCAGGAATTTTCTAGGGACTATTTTAATAAGATGGCATCCATTAGCTAAGTAGGATACTACATCCTATTTCATACAGCAAATGTTAGACACCTGGAGACAAAGGAAAGCTAAGTTTCAGAAACTGACAGAAAAAAGAAACTGCCACTCAAGTGTAGAAGGGAGTGGCAAGGGAGTGACACATGGAGAAGAGAATACCAGAGTCAGGAATAAGTGATGCTAAGTTCTGAGAACTGCATAAGTACTTCAAACAGTGTAATATCAAGTATGCTACAACCTGATGGTTTAAGCCTTCCCTTCCCAAAAGCTTTCAATTCAGTCTACAATTATCTCTGGAATAGAATTCAAATTAAGTAAAAAGATGATGTAAAAAATAAGATTTGGTGTACTAAACTTCACTTGTCAGGCAGCTTTGTGAAATATGTCTCTGCCAGAAAATGAAAGAGAAATCTTTCTCATAAATAAGTATTAACGGGAGAGAAGAATTTAAGATTCAAATATCTATAGGAAAAGCAGAGGCTGTGAAAACATTATGGCAATGGTAAAAAAAAAAAAAAAAAAAAAAATTACAGGTGGTGTTCAAATATGTAAACTATCATATTTCTGTATAAAATACACACAATTAACTATAATTCAAATCACCAAGGGAAACTAATTTACACTGAGCACCTACTATGGGACAAGCACGATGGTAAGACCTTTCATGTACCTGAGGAAGGTCTGAACTGGCACTCTGTGCTTCTGCAGGTTCAGTATGACTTGAAGGTACTGGACCCAACCGCTCTTTGACTGACTGCTTCACAACAGGCAATATGGGTTGCTGGACTAAAGGCTGCATTACCTCAGAACAAGAAAAAACAATTTAAACAAGCTTATTAGCTCATTAGCATACAAAAATAACTTCTATAATAATATAACTAAGTAGCCCATGCAAGGTTTAAAAATGCAGCTCATAATCAAAACCTAATCTCTTCCAGTTTTCTTCACAAATGTATACGGATGTTTTCTTTGCAAAAAATGACATTTATAAAGTAGAAGATGAAATCGAAAAACCATCTGCTGTAATAGACCTCTACAAGCAACCCGTCTAACATTACATATTAATTGGTTTGTTGACCGACTGTGGGAGTGGGGAGTAGGGGGATCACAACAATTCTATACCCTTTAGACCTATTTTATTATTCTCTAAACTAGGAATGGACTCCACGATTAAATGAGAGAATAGGTTAAGAGAGGTTAAGTAACTTTCTCAAACACATACAGACTGACAGTGATACAGTCAGAATGTGAAATCAAGTCTGACTCCAGTTTTCTGTTCTTAAACACTATGCTAGGAACTTTCTAAGAAAAGCATTTAATTTCACACAGATTTTTCTCTTACCTTAGGGGAAGCAGTTTGTAACTGTTGGGTGGTTCCTTCCCTGTGCCAATAAACCTTAATAAAGCGATTGTTCAGCACTGCTTCTGTACTTGATATTGCTTTCTTTGCTTCTTCGTATGTTGCAAATTGGATAAGGGCACCTTCGGGATCACCATTATACGCGACCTAAGATTTAAAACATTAAGAACAGTGGATTTCCAAAAGATCTGTTGCTTCATACAATAAAATGCCTCTAGAAACGAAACACTGATTCTCCCAAGTAAGATTCTATCTGTGTTATTTCCTTATAACTGGGATTATTAAATTGTGCTTTAAGAGAAAGTTTACAATTCAAGTTAGTTTCTCATACAAAAATTTATACACACATTGTTATGTGACCCTAGTTGCTCTCCCTGTAATGTGACAGCACATTCCTCCTTTCCACCCCCGATTTACCCTGTCCATTCAACCAGCTCCTGTCCCTTTTTGCCTTCTCATCTAGCCCCCAGAAAGGAACTGCCCATTTAGTCTCATGTATCTACTTGAGTTAAGAAGCACTCTTCACGAGTTACCATTTTATGTCCCACAGTCCAGTCTAATCTTTGAAGAGTGGACCTCGGGAATGGTTTTTACTTTTGGGCTACCAGAGAGTCCAGGGGCCATGTTTTCCAGGGTCCCTACAGTCTCAGTCAAACCATTAAGTCTGGTCTTTTTACTAGAATTTGAGTTCTGCACCCCACTTTTCTCCTGCTCCATCTGGGACTCTCTGTTGTGTTCTCTGTCTGGGCGGTCACTGGTGGCAGCTGGGCACCATCTAGTTCTTCTGGTCTCAGGCTGATGCAGTCTCTGGTTTATGTGGCCCTTTCTGTCTCTTGGGCTAATATTTTCCTCGTGTCTTTGGTGTTCTTCATTCTCTTTTGTTCCAGGTGGGTTGGGGCCAATTGATGCCTCTTAGATGGCTGCTCGGTAGCTTTTAAGACCCCAGACACCACACACCAAAGTGGGATGCGGAACATTTTCTTAGTAAACTTTGTTATGCCAACTGACCTAGATGTCCCCTGAAACTATGGTCCCCTGACCCATGCCCCACCTACTGTCCCTCGAAGTGTTTGGTTATATTCAGGAAACTTCTTAGCTTTTGGTTTAGTCCAGTTGTGCTGACTTCCCCTACAGTGTGTGTTGTCCTTCCCTTCACCTAAAATAATCCTTGTCTACTATCTAGTTAGTGAACCCCTCACCCTCCCTCCCCACCCTCATAACCATCGAAGAATATTTTCTTCTGTGTTTAAACCTTTTCTTGAATTCTTATAATAGTGGTCTTATACAATATTTGTCCTTTTGCAACTGACTAAATTCACTCAGCATAATGTCTTCCAGATTCATCCATGTTATGTTTCACAGATTTATCTTTGTTCATCATAGTATTGCATTGTGTGAATATACCATAACTTGTTTATCCATTCATACATTGATGGGCACCTAGGTTGTTTCTATCTTTTTGCTATTGTGAACAGTGCTGCAATGAACATGGGTGTGCATGTATCTATTCACGTGAAGGCTCTTATTTCTCTAGGATATATTCCAAGGAGCAGGATTGCTGGATTGTATGGTACTTCTATTTCTAGCTTTTAAAGGAAGCACCAAATCGATTTCCAAAGTGGCTGTACCATTTTACATTCCCACCAACAGTATATAAGTGTTCCAGTCTCTCCACAGCTTCTCCAACATTCATTATTTCGTGTTTTTTGGACAATGCTAGCCTTGCTGGGGTGAGATGGTATCTCATTGTAGTTTTGATTTGCATTTCTCTAATGGCTAGTGATCGTGAGCATTGCCTCATGTATCTGTTAGCCACCTGAATGTCTTCTTTGATGAAGTACCTATTCATATCCTTTGCCCATTTTTTAATTGGGTTACTTGTCTTTCTGTTGTTGAGGTTTTGCAGTATCTTGTAGGTTTTAGAGATTAGACGCTGACTGGATTTGTTGTAGCCAAAAATTTTTTCCCAGTCTGTAGGTTGTCTTTTGACTCTTTTGGTGAAGTCTTTCGATGAGCATAAGTGTTTGATTTTTAGAAGCTCCCAGTTATCTAGTCTCTCTTCAAGTGCCTGTGCATTGTTACGGTTCGTATTGTGTTTATGCCATGTATCAGGGCCCTGAGCGTTGTCCCTAGTTTTTCTTCCGTGATCTTTTTCATTTTCGGTTTTATATTTAAGTCTTTGATCCATTTTGAGTTAGTTTTTGTGCATGGTGTGAGGTATGGGTCGTTTCAGTTTTTTGCAGATGGGTACCAAGTTACGCCAGCACCATTTGTTAAAGAGACTGTCTTTTCCCCCAATTAATGGACTTTGGGCCTTTGTCAAATATCAGCTGCTCAAAGGTGGATGCATTTATGTCTGGATTCTCAATTCTGTTTCATTGGTCTATGTATCTGTTGTTGTACCAGTACCAGGCTGTTTTGACTACCACGGTGGTATAATAGGTTCTAAAATCAGGTAGTGAGGCCTCCCACTTTGTTCTTCTTCTTCTTCGGTAATGCTTTCCTTATCCGGGGCTTCTTACCTTTCCATATGAAGTTGGTGATTTGTTTCTCCATCTCATTAAAAAATGCCAGTGAAATTTGGATCGGGATTGCATTGTATCTGTAGATCACTTTGGATAGAATTAACATTTTCACAATGTTGAGTCTTCCTATCCATGAGCAAGGTATGTTTTTCCACTTACGTAGGTCTCTTTTGGTTTCTTGCAGTAGTGTCTTGTAGTTTTCTTTGTACAGGTCTTTTACGTCTCTGGTTAGCTTTATTCCTAAGTATTTTATCTTCTTAGGGGCTATTGTATATGGTATTGATTTGGTGATTTTCTCTTCGAAGTTCTCTTTGTTGGTATGGAGGAATCCAACTGATTTCTGTATGTTTATCTTGTATCCTGATACTTTGCTGAAATCTTCTATTAATTCCAGTAGTTTTCTTGTGGATTCTTTGGGGTTTTCTGTGTTTAAGATCATATCATCTATAAATAGAGATACTCTGACTTCTTCCTTACCAATCTAGACACCCTTTATTTCTTTTTCTAGCCTAACTGCTTTGGCTAGGACCTCCAGCACAATGTTGAATAAGAGTGGTGTTAAAGGACATCCTTCTCTGGTTCCCATTCTCAAGGGGAATGCTTTCAGACTCTCTACATTTAGGATGATGTTGGCTGTTGGGTTTGTATAAATGCCCTTTATTATGTTGAGGAATTTCCCCTCTAGTCCTATTTTATCAGAGCCTATTTTTAAGAGTTCTAACTCCAATCAATCTCCTCTCACTCCAGTAGAAACAACAACTGAGGATTGTTCACAGTGGAATAAGAGCCTCCTCTATACAGTACTGAATTGAAAATGCTGCTCACATAGATGTTATGTACAAGTGCACGCATGCACACACACACAAGGTATTCAAAAGGTATTATCTTTTCCCCCTAATTTTAATAGTGCCTAGAAGAAACAATCCCCATATATTAATGAGGGATGTGGCTAGGATCCACATAGTCAGGAGAAGGAAATAATCTACTTTCAAAGCAGTGATCTCTAACTAAAAACTAAAGAAAAATCTATTTGTACAATATCTCAAATTTGTAATCATCACGACAATATTTCCAAAAGTAAGAGAAAATAAAATACCCACATCAACCACATTTTACACGAGGACACTGAAGTTCAAGGAATATACGATTCTGTAGACCATACGACTAACATGCAGTAAATCCAATGCTTCTCACTTTAAATTCCTGTTCTTTCAAAAGTAACAGTGTTTTCCAAAGTGTGGTATATAAATCACTGGTGGTGTGAAGCAATACAATAGAGGTTAAGAACACAGGCTCTGAGTGAAACTGCCTAGCTCAAACCTTGGCTGCTACCCTTACATGAGCATGATCAAGCAATTTAATCTTTCTGTGTCTCAGTTTCCTCTTCCATAAACGAGGATAACAGTATTCACTCTAAAGTGCTGTTCTAAGAATTAAATAATTCATGTAGAATAGAGTACATAGTAAGCGTTCAATAAATATTAGCTATTATGATGAAGAATGATTTCAAGTAGCAGTTTAACAATTATGCATTTATTAGAATTTAAAAACAGTGACAATTTCACCAATCATTTTACTTAGAATAAAGGTAATTTTTTTTAACTGGATTTAAAAAAAATGTATTTCATAAATAATAATGCAGGGGTATGCACATACAGCAAAAAGGCCAGTAAAACGATGAGACGATATCAACCTCACTGGTAACTGAAGAAATGCAAATTGAAATAAGATGATACTGTGTTTTGCCATTAGCTTTGAGAAGTTAAAAAAAATTTAACATTACCAGTATATTTCATTGTGTAGGGAAAATAATCTGAGAACTTTATGTCTGAATCTAAACGTGGCAGATCAAATTGAATTGGCATGAAATGACATTCAAGATAAGTAATAACTATAAGATAATATGTATATTATGGGCCCATATACATTTTAAAGGAACCGTGGTGGCAGAGTGGTTAAGAGCTCGACTGCTAACCAAAGGTCAGTAGTTTGAATCCACCAGCCACTCCTTGGAAACCCTATGGGGTAGTTCTACTCTGTTCCGTAGGGTTGCAATGAGTCGGAATCAACACAATGGCAATGAGTATACTTTTGAAAAAAAGTTTGTGTATTTATAGATACATACATAAATATACTGCTCACAAAAACACATAACGAAAAATACAGAACAACACAGATTATTAATAGTGTAATTATCAAATGAGGAGGGGAATATGAGGGGTGCAAAAAGTTGAAGGAAAATATTTCCTTTAAATTCTACATATGTATATCTATTGCCCATCCCCAAACAAGCATGCAGTTTTTCATCTATCACTTTTATAACAGTAATTTTTTAAATGGCAAAAAACAAAATTTTCAAAAAACTGTACTCTCTAAAATTTATTCTTATTTTTATTAGAATATGGGAAATAATTAATCAAAGATAAAAATGTCAAACTGGGGGGGAAAACCCAACATATTATTTCAACACGTTCAACACAAAACATGATGTAAATTCAATACCAAATAACTGCAGAAGTTATATACACCCAAACTAAGGTTCTACTGTAGATGAAATCAAATACAAATTACACTGATTTTTAGCTGAAGCCAAATACAAATTACACTGACATTAATCTCAAAGGATGTCCAAAAGCGGCAAAGGAAAAATAAGTGTTTAAACTATGTATGGTTAACAGGCATGACATTTGGGCCCCAAAAGTATCTTTTAAATGCATCCCACCAGGCAGTGACAAAAACAAATCTGACATGCATTCTATGAATTGATTTTAAGAAACCCAGGAACTAAAAACTACCACAATATTAGTTATTATCAGTGTGATTATTTAACCTTTGCCGTAATTTTATGGTAACTTCTACTAAGTATACAGTTTGTAATAATATGATCAATCAAAACTAAGCTCCCTAAATCATGAGAACAGAGATAACAGAATCATTTCATGGCTCTCACCTGTAAGTTAACCAGGGTTCCAAACCGACTAAAATGCTCATTAAGTTTGCTGATATTATTTAATTCTGGAGGAACTTTTCTAAGTTCAAGTTTGGTATTTTCATTTCCAAACTGAACCTTCTTCTGGAAGCCTGGGCTATTTGTTCTATTAAAATTTGGTCTGTAACAAAAAGCAAATTAATTAGTACACTTAAAAATCCTGACCCCTACCAAGTATAAAGGAATAGAAGCTTTACATGCAAAATGAATGTCCAGTTATGATTTTTTTTCCCCAAAACTGAAATTAACTGGTTTGATAAAGGAAATTTACATATTCTTTCATAAAACTTCCAAACTCATAGTGGTAGTATTTTTCATGAAGCCAACTGAGGTTCCTTTCATATCATTTGTTATTTTCCACTTCTTGCCCACCACTACTTAACATTCTTAGCAGGGAAAACTCTAGCACCCTCTTTCAGTCAATCTGCATATATAACCTCTGTTGCATTTCTGCAAAAGCTAGCTTACTGAAATATATCGTATTTTACAACTTTGATTAAAAAGGAATGACTGCCATAACCTCTTCCCAGCTTAAAAAAAAAAAAAAAATAGAGCTATAGATCATACTTCTAACACTTCAAAAAAAAAAGAAAAGAAAAAATTGTGGTCCAGAGACGTTCTGATTCCACACAGCCCTTCTTTGAAGCTCTTTCTTGACACCTCAGTGCCTAACCAAGCCCCTCGTCAAAAAAAAAGGAGAGGAGGGAAGAGACTTTCTAGTTCTTAACAGGAACCTTCCAGATGCTAAAACCTCCTCCCAGACCCCACCTACCGTTCCTTGGCCTGATGATGGGTTCGTGACTATCCTTTATATAGCTAGTATTCAACCACATTTTTAAGTAAGGATTTTGGTGGGGAGAGACAGGATGAGAGGGAAGTGAAGAGAGGATAAATTGTCCCCTAAACCACCACACCATTTCTTTAAGAAAATACCTCCCAAGTATCCAGACCACTAACTTACATATTTTTAAAAAAACAACTTATATTCTAGTTGGGGACAGCCTATAGAACTGAAGAATGTAAAATGATTTGTGGAAAGAGAATTCTGGACTGGTAATAATAATTCAATGAGCCTAAGAAGCAGTGCATAATAAAATCCCTGCCAGCTTACTTATCAAACCAAGTCTTCTTTGTAGGAATTCCAGGCTCTCCAGAACCAATGGTTCTTTTCCTTGATTCAGAATCCACTACTATCCTCATACTGCTTTTATTGGGAGGCTTTTCTGCTTGAAAAAAAAAAAAAATTACAGATTAATATTACCCGTTTATCATAGTTACTTCTTTAAATTCATACTGGAACAATGTTCTGGCTTCTCAGCCAAATACACATTTTAGTAGAAATAGAAATAATGTGCATTCAAATATAGTAATCTAAGGAATTCTAACCTATTTCAATTTAATGAAACATTCATTTCACACCTAGAAAAACTGTGAAGAAGAATCAGTAATTCTCACATGCCAAATTAAAATGATTTTGTGGGACACATCTTTGGAAGTAGAGCCCACGCTAATCCTCCATCTGCCATCACCCTCACTACAAATAAATAACAAATCATCTTGAGGCTTTAAGTTCATAATTATCTTGAAGGTACACATTTTGTCTTCTCAGCAGAAATGTCAAGTTTTGAAATGAAACGCACAACCTAAGAGATTCAAAATTCAACACCAACCCAGTAACCTTTCTTTGAGAACTGATAACTTAGTAGAGCTGGGATTAAAAGAGCTGCTTATTTAAATGTCAATATTTATTAATAAAATGTATGCATACTTGAGAAAAGAAAAGAAAAATATTCCAGACTGACACAAAAACAGATGTCAGTGGAAATGCAGTATAAAGAAACATAAATATCTGCTATTTTCAACCTTCTACATTCACGTAGATGGAGTACAACAAACACAGTACATTTAACCTGTTATCTCCAAATATCACCAAAGTTTAAAAACATTCAAATCTTACTCTTCCTAGAAAAAAACAATTTTAAACTTCTTTAAGAAGGATAAATTGATTATATAAAATCCCATTCTTACGTATTTCTAAACATATAACTAACAAAAGAACTTCAAAGCTATCCTAGCAATCCCTCTCGTGGCTACATCTACGATCTCCATGTAGGACCCCAAAAATCTCTCCATCACATGTGAACTCTGCTCTGAGGATCAGTCCCAAATTTCTAACTTCTTGCTCTTCCCTGGTCATCTTTCTTCTGAAAACCATACAGGTATCTCAAAAACCTCAATATGTACAAAGTTCAAATTACCTTCATACTAAATCTGGTTTTTTAATCTTTCTTAAACATTTCTATTACTAAATATCATTTTCCCAATCATCACAGTCATATTTGATTCCTGCCCTTTCCCAGATCTCTTCAATTTGTCTTGCATCGTGTCTTCTCATTTCTTGCTGAAACAGCCTTAATACAAACTTGTATTACTTTTCATCTACATGACTATCCTAACTGGGCTTTTGTTTCTAGATTTCCCTGCCATCAATTTGTCTTACACATACAGAAAAACCAAAATCAAAGTTCTAGAGCCCTGCTCTCCTGTTTTTAACCTCTCTCTGTACACTGGCACTTCCCATCAACACTTAAACATATTCAAATTGCTCCGTTTAAAAAAAGGAATTTCTTAAAACTACTTTCCCCTTCAGCTACATGATTCTCTCTCTCTCTACTCCATAGCCATTTCCTGAAAGAGCTGTCTATACTTGCTATCTCTGCTTCCTTACCACCCATTTATCCCCTAATTCTCTGATAACTGGCAACTGTTCCTGTTACTGCTCTTAAATTACTCTTGCCAAAATCACTGATTTCTTAACTTGTTGTTTTAGACTATGAATACTTCTTTTCATTGACCTTTTAGGTGCATCTAACACTGCTTATCACCTTCTTCTCCTTAGACATTATCTTTCTCAATTTGCAGGACTCTGTCTCTTTTGGCTTCATTTTCTCAGAGTCTTGTGTAAGCTCTCCCTTCCCAGCCCATCGCTTCAATGTTGACATTCTTCAGGTTACTTACTTTGGCCTTCTTATCTCACTCTACACAATCTCCCTAAAACACCTCATCTATTACATGGCTTTATCTGTTTCAGTGATTCTCAAGGCGGTTGGGGGAGTGGGAGGGAGCGTATCAGAATCACATGAGAAAGGCTTTTGGAACCTATATAAGCCAGTCCTAGAGATTTTGGTATGTCTCCTCCATCTTCCTTTACTTCCCACTATTACTAATGGGATAGGATAAAAAAAATTAAGAACCTCTGTTCTACTTGCTAATGATTCCAATAGGCCTCAGACTTCCATATCCTATTTCCCCCTGGACATTTCTACTCAAATGCCCTACAGGCACAACAAATTAAACACTTCCAAAACTAGATCTCTCTTCCTACCAAATCTGTTGTTCCTTTGAATGAACAATACTATAATCCGCCTCATTATCCAAGGCAGAAACCTGGTGTCTTTAATTCCACCCTGTTCTTTACCCCAATTCTAATCCTCACAATCAAATAAATTACTAAGTGTTATCAGTTCTTTCTATTAAACTTAAATCTTTTCACTTCCCACTGTTACTACCTCAGTCCAGCTACTATCTCTTTTCTACAATTCTTCAAATGTCTTTAATTGGCCTCTTACCTCCCTTCTTCCATCCCTCGTTCCCTCTCTGTGCCACAAAGTTGGCTAATTCTGACTTATCCTACATCTCCCAGCAGGATGGATGGAAATACCCAGTATCTAGCACTGGTGAAGTTTACAGTGCAAGTTGTAGCTTATGTGCTCAGTGGTGTCTACACAGCACCAGTTCTACAACAGGATTTTTGGTCATATTCTAGTCTATGGGCGTCCCAAGTCTGGTTCACTGATCATACTGGGGAGTATACGAGCCAAGCAATATCCTTTTTCACAAAAAAACAGAAAAAAAGTTCTTTATCTGAAGGCTAAGAGAAGCAGTAATGTTGTGTTTTTTCCACAGTAGTTGTGATTATTTTCAACTCATCTGCATTCTTTCACTCAAGATTCCCTTCACTGGTAAAAGTACAGAACAAAGTTCCTCTTATTATACAATCAGCAAATATGTCTAATTGTATACCAATATCCTTTTAATAAATTGTTTTACTGCTTAAAATTTTCAGTATTGGTTTTTGTTACATGCTAATGAAAAACTAGAGAGCCCTGGTGATACAATGGTTAACAAATAAGTCAGCGATTCGAATCCACCAGCCCCTCAGAGGGAGAAAAGACGTGGCGATACGCTCCCGTCAAGATTACAGCCTAGGAAACCCTATGGGGCAGTTCAACTCTGTCACACTGCTTGAGTCAGAATCAACTCGAAGGCACACAACAGCAATGAAAAACTACTTAACCCTTGCTCCTACCTATATCCAATTATGGCAGCTTCTATCAAGTTCTCTACTTAGAAATCTGCAAAGAACGATATCAGGGCCTCTGGGTCACTTTTACATTAGTAATATCAAAGCACAGAAGGGCTTAAAATGTTTCATTTGTTTAATAATAATTTCCCATTAAGATTTAAGATATTAAGCATAAAAGCATAATTACCACATAATAGCCTATGACAACCCTGGTGGTGGCGCAGCTGTTAAGTGTTTGGCTGCTAACCAAAAGATGAGCAGTTTGAATCCACCAGTTGCTCCTTGGAAACCCTACGGGGCTATTCTTCTCTGTCCTATAGGGTCGCTATGAGTTGGAATTGACTTGATGGCAACAGGTTTGGTTATAGGCTATAAAAGGTGGCTATGAGTCAGAAATGACTCTATGGCAATGGGTTTGGTTTTTTGGTTTTTATCGACTGTAAGGGGAGTCCTTGGGTAGTCAGTCAACATGCTTGGCTGCTAACTGAAAGGTTGGTGGTTGGAGTCTACAGAGGCACCTCAGAAAAAAGGTCTGGCAATCTACTTCCAAAAAAAATCACTGAAAACTCTCTTGAGTGCAGTTCTGCTCTGAAACACATGGGGTCATTATGAGTCAGAACTGACTTGCCAGCAACTGGTTTTACAGGCTATTAGAAATTTGTAATAATTACATAATAAGAAGGTTACTAACGGTCAGGATTCTAATCATTATAAAATCCTATTTGTGAAACACTGTCTTTTAAGAACAATATTATAATATTATAAATGTGTCACAATCCAGGGCAGTAAATTTCAAACCCATTCAAATGGCAAACAGATGAGAACATATTGGGGGACAGACTGAAAAAAGATAGGAAATATCAGTACAGGCAATCTTCAATTTAAATGGGTTGCTAAATTAGTTGTTTTGTACACAAAAATAATTTTATTAATGGATAATAGATTCCTCAAGGCAACTTACAAAAATACTCCATGATGCATCTGAGAATCAACATGTACAACAACGATCCTGTGAGAAACGTCACTCAAATTTCTAACTAGGTATGTGAACATTTCTCTTCTGTAACTTATAACTACAGACACGTGGTGCTGAAATTACTATAACTTCAAGCTCTACGTGGTAAGATTTATATGCAAGGAGTTTCACTTCTCTTCTGCTCCTCAATCAAAACCAGAAATTGGACTGGCACTAGAGTGGATCTAATAAATATTGATCTTCAGTGGCATATATTCATGCCACTCTGAAGCAGCCAGGCAAGAAAGACGTACCTGGAAGTAGGAGGTCCTAGTAAGAACAAGAAGTATCCATGTGATGAAGAGAAAATACATGTTAAGTAATGAGCTAAAAGGAAAGGGGACTTCTTTGGTCTAGCCAGGTAGGGGAGGCTTTGGTGAAGGGAAAACACCACTACAGCCACAATCTCAAGTGGCTACTTTTCAAATACAAGCAATTTGTATATGCCTTACACAGGAACTGTTAAAAAAATCTTTTTTCTGTTGTTGTTAATGAGAGTTATTGGAGTGCCTCAGGAGAATTAAAAACAGGGAGGGAGGGGTTCAGTATTAAATGTCCTATGGTCTCCAACTGGCTATAAATTTGAATTAAAATATTCCTCACACTTCCATCACAAAAAGGTCCTAAATACTCAAGGCAGATGCTCGGAGGAAAAAATGAAAAGGATGCAAAGTATAAGTAATCACAAACTCACTAGGCATTAACATTATTCATTAACTGATACTTATTTAGATTAACTGGAATTTTATTTACAACTGATGAGGCATGATTCCCTCCCTCCCGCCCCCAACAGGAAAGAAATCAAGGAAAGACTAGGAAAAAAAATGGGACTTAAAATTTAGTAAAGGGGGTTGGGAAAATAATAATTTTATTAGGCCATGCAGTATTTTCTATTAAATCTGACAATCCCTCATATCAAATGTTAACAATAGCAAATTTTACATCTTTCAAATTCATGTGAACTATCTCTCTCCTCTGACCCTTCATATCACTTTGCAACGTACACGGCCCTGGTCTGTATCAGTCTAATCTCTTTATCTTCATCTCTCTTTTTGAAATTTTATTAAAAAGCCTGTCTAAGAAAAAAAAAGGTAATGAATCACTTCATAAAACATAATTCCTTTTGCTTTAACGTTATAATAAACAAATCACTATCAAATTCTAACATGTTAAAAGTGAACAAAAATAAAATATGTATTAAACACAGGTTTGTACAGCTGAATTTCATTATACAAACTAGGAAACAATCTATCTTTAGGAATTAAAGTATTACTTTCAAGAGTTTAAACTAACCAATTAAGACTTTAAATGATACAAAATACAAAATAAAAAAAAGCTACCTGAGAAAATATGTACTTTTAGAAATTCCTCTCCCTTTGGATGGTAGAATAAAGTGTCAGCAATACTACAAATAGGAAACCACACATTACCTTTTCTCTCATGGGAGACCAAAGGACTCAGAGAATAAACAATCATCATTTCTTACTCAGCCCAAATAAGTACAGGACTGACTACTCCTTAGAATTGTGTTGTCACTTGATATTATGAAAAAAAGAAGAAAAGATGAATCATAGTACCTCTGGGTGGCAAATCCATATCCCCTGATGTCAGTCCTATCAAGTTAGGCCTTTGTGCATGCACTCTGTGTCTATACATAGGTCTGGAAGTATTGGTTATGCTTGGGGCTTCAGGATTGTAGCCATCTGTGTCATATGTATCTGGTAATACAAAAACTGTAATTAAAAAACAATTATAAAACTCCACTTGGTAATTTTTTTATACCGATAATAGAAAAAGTAAACTACGTAACATGTTACTACTAACAACATAACAAATAACTGATACATGATACAGGAACTAAAAAGAAAACTTGGTTTTATAAAAATAAAAACTGTTATATTAAAAAGAAAATTATTTTTAAAATTCTAATTAAGGACTTACATTTAATGTACATTCATCACATCTACACTGTATTCTACATAATTTTACTAAGAAACATAGTACCGTTAGAACAATTCACTCTCCAGACATTTCTGAATTCCACATCTAAAACTCTGCTTTAAAATTATATTACATTATTAATATCAAAAGGGCCAAAACTGCACCTGCAGTAAAAAGAGAAGGTGGAGCAGGAGGAGGCTGGTGATGAATGCCAGTTGTTACCACAGTAGGAACAGAACTGGTTGCAGAGTTTGGGGGAGCATCCATGCCAGATGGCTGCAAAGGAGGAAGTGGAGGGGGTGGTCCTGTCAAAACCAAAGAATAAGAAATATCATCTGAAAGCAAACAAATAAAATAAGTTATTGTACATTCAAACATTGTATTTTCATTTATCAATCAACAACATCTACAAACACCAAGCTCTTACAATTAAATTAGTTTTCTACAGTAAAATACCCTTTCAATGTATTCCAAAACAGGTTTCCTTCAGCTAGAAAGGACTGCAGGCACTGGGGTTTGTCAGGGCTGTACATCACATAGGGCCACTCTGAACCATAGTATCTGATTTACAACACCTGCAAAATTGGGGTACTCCAAATGGAAGTATATTGCTCTTAGTTTCTAGCAGGTATCTATAGGATTCGTTTAGATACTTTTAACAAAAGCAAGCATCAAACTCATTAACTTTATTAAAAAAAACTATGAATGGATAGACACTAAATATAGGCAAACAAACATATTTACTTACCTGTGACAGGTGGGAGACTAGGTGGTAACGGACCTGGAGGTGGCACAGGGGGTCTAAGATTCACAGGTGGGGGTGTAAGAATTGGTGGAGGTGGAGGGAGTCCAGGAGGAGGTGGTCCTTCAACAACAGGAGGCTGTGCTGGGAAAGGCAGCATCCCAGGAAGATTCACATCTTCTACAACTACTGGGTCACTTCCATGATCAAAAGGGCACATGTCCCCTCTCATACAAAAACCCTTTTCTGTGAGGAATAACAGGAAAAAATGTAAAAGGCACTAAACATATAAATTTTCTCTAATTTAACAAAAATAAGATATTTAAAAATACAAATATTTTAAATGCTGGGCAAGTATAATTATTTCACAAGAGCCACCTGTTACTGCCAGTAACATAAAATACTATCAGTATTTTACCAATACCATACCAGTAAGATAATATGCCTAACGCACACATCAAAAAAAAATATATCATAAAATTAAATCAGTAGATATTTACGCTTGTTTGGTAAATGCCAGTAATATATTAAGACTGACATGTAAATAAACACTATTATTAAATTGATATTCAATAGTCAGTAGTGACTGAAGGTTTCAATATTGAGGAATTCATAAAGCAATTAAGACCAATTTTCCATTGTTGTCAGTATCAGAGGTAAGTTTTGAGTAACTGTATACAACTTAAAAAAATTTTACTCAATTGGAAATATTAATTCTTCATGAAGCGTGAAAAAGACTTACCATCATAGTCTCTACATCGTTTCTTTGGCATTGGTGGTCTCACATAAGAGTTATGGTCCACCTGGTCTTCATGAAATTCAGACCAACTTTCGGTAGTGTTATTACCATGATGAGTAGGAGCAATTACTGTAATAGTGCTGCTCAAAGTAGGTACAGGGTAGTGGCTGGATGAAATGCTAGGTACCGAAGAGACCGGAGTATAATTATTCTCTAATGGATCCGTTCTATCCAAGTCGTATTTAGGTTTTACTAGATCTCTTTCTGCAACAAAATATAAATGACGTAAATCTACACTCTATAAAAAATACCAAGTCCCCCCTCTACAAAGTAGTGAAATTTAGCAAAACAAAGAAACTATTTCGTTTTTTGCATAATCCTCCTTTTCCTTTAAAAGCTATTCAATTAATATACAACATTCCAAGATAAGCTGTTTCTATTCAACATGACTAAACTATAAAAATAAGTTACTGTACATTCAAACATGATATTTTCATTTATCAATCAATAATATCTACAAACACTAAGCTCTTACAATTAACTCTTACAATTAAATTAGTTTTCTACAGTAAAATACCCTTTCAGCGTATTCCAAAACAGGTTTGCCTTCAGCTAGAAAGGACTGCAGGCAATAAAGTTGCTGAACTTAATGAGGTTTTTTTTTTCTTGTAATTCTCTTTACAGAAAAAACAAGGTCTTTTACTTTTCTCACTGAAATCTTAGTATGCATAACAACCTCAGCCCACAAAACAAAACATACAAGTATAGTTATTCTTCCTGTCATGAACATTTAGTTGTCATCCAACTAAACACTCTAGTAGAGCTTTCTGCATTGAACACTACTTATTAAAGATGAGAACAGATGACCCAAGGTGGGGGGAAGGAGTTGATATTAAACATGAACAAAGAAACTAACTAGGCTGTCTATGGTCCCAAGAATGGAGAAAAGGTATGAAGGAGATTAGTCAAGTGAAGCAATGTGCAGAGAGGCCTAGTACACCCAGATCACAGGCAAAAACAAAAACAAGAAACTCAAAAAAAAAGAGCACTCGAGAAGTACAGGATTCATCCTGAGACCCAAAATAATATTTTCTAAAGACTAAATGTGAGGGTCCAATAAGGTTGCAATGGTAGCAAAAATCTAAGCTTCAATAAAGTTGTTTTACTCACAGATGTGTTAGTTGTTTTACTGCCTGCAACATCTTATTTTCAATAACACATACTGGAAGAAAAATTATACATGATAGAAATGACATTCTCTTGTGAACAGAGACATCTGAAAGATTTTTAAAAACTTTTTGAGATATAACTGAGATACGATAATCTGCATATATTTAAGGCGTACAATTTAATGAGTTTTGACCTATGTACATACCTGTAAAACCATCATCACAGTCAAGATAATGAACATATTCTTCACCCTCAAAAGCTTCCTCGTGTCAGAAAGATTAGTCCAAAGGACTAATGGACCACAACTACCACAGCCTCAACCAGACTGAGTCCAGTACAACTAGATGGTGCCTGGCTACCACCACTGACTGCTCTGACAGGGATCACAATACAGAGTCCCGGACAGAGCTGGATAAAAATGTAGAACAAAATTCTAACTCACAAAAAAAGATCAGACTTACTGGCCTGACAGAGACTGGAGAAACCCTGATAGTATGGCCCCCAGACACCCTTTTAGCTCAGTAATTAAGTAACTCCCGAGGTTCACCATTCAGCCAAAGATTAGACAGCCCCATAAAACAAAACACTAACAGAGCACAACAGTCCAGGGACAAGGATTAGAAGGCAGGAGGGGACAGGAAAGCTGGTAATAAGGAACCCAAGGTTGAGAAGGGACGCAGTGACATGTCGTGGGGTTGTTAACCACTGTCATAAAACAACATGTGTACCGTTTAATGAGAATCTACTTGTTCTGTAAACCTTCGTCTGAAGTACAATTAAAAAAAAAAAAAAGTCTCCTGTGTCTTCTATAATCCACCTCTCCTTTACTCCATCCTCAGGCAACCAGAATGGCTTTCCGTCACTATAGATTAGTTGCATTTTCTCAAAATTTTTATACATATATACTCTATTTTGTCTGACTTCTTTCACTCAGCGTAACTATTCTGAGATTTATCCATATTGTTGCATGTTATCAGTGGTTCGTTGCTTTTTACTGCTAAGCTGACATGAACATTTGTGTAAATGTCTTTGTGTACACATATGCTTTCACTTCTCTTGGGTAAATACCTAGGAGTGGAATAGCTTGGTCAAAGTGTATGTGTAGGTTTAACATTTTAAAGTACTGCCAAACTGTTTTCCCAAGAGTTCGGTTCATCTACATCCTCATCAACATCTGGTACTGTCAGTCTTTTTAATTTTAGCCATTTTGACGGGGTATGTAGCAATAATTCATTGTGGTTTTAATTTATATGAAATACAACTTCTTAAAAGAAACTTTTAAAAAGCATTCTCTTGGACAACAAAATACATCAAAATAAAAAACATGAAGGCAACGTCAACAAAATTAAAACAACTAAAATTTAAAAACAATGAAATAAGTACTTTTTCACAATAAAAGAATGCCAACCAAAATACACGTAGATATGCATTATTTACCTCTGCTTCGGGTTCTGCTTCTGCTTCTGGTCCTGCTCCTGTCTCTATCTCTGTCACGCAGTCTCTCTTTACTCCAACTTCGACTACGACTCCTGCTGTAACTGCGACTCCGCCCGCGTCTTCTATTGTACCGATCTCTGTATGAATCTCTTCGAGGAGGGTTTCGGTCATAATCTCTTTTGCGAGAACGATCATCTTTCTTCCTCTCATCACGACTTCTGAAGAAACATATGATCAATTTTATGTAAATAATTTTTACATGGATACAGAAAAAACTCAAATTATATGCCAAAGTTATAACTAATTCTTGTAACATCATAATTCTTCACCCCACAACCAGAAAACTAGATTGCGATTACTCAAACGACTGAAAAAAACTGAGTACAATCTGTTTAAGTACTCTAAAACCTGCTTAAAAGAAAAAAAAAAACTGACTTAATCCTTCGTCTTATATGTATCCCTATCTATAATACACTTAGGCATCTGTACATATAGGCATGTATCTACACATATGCCATATAGTACGTACTGTTTTGTACTTCAAGTCTCATATACACAGGCATGAATCACATACTTTGTACTCTAAATGCTTCTGAAGCCTTCACAGGAAAAATAATTTATTCACACTAGAGGGAATCTTTGGGAAAAAAAAAAAAAAAAAAAAGCCTCAAATTAAGATTCCACTGGAGCAGAACAGAATTTCAAATTCTAATGGAATCCAGACTTTCTGGAGCCATGGAGGCTGGATGAACCTCTGAAACTATCGCCCTGAAATAATCTTTAAAGCTTAAACCAAAAGTATCCCCTGAAGTCTCAAAACCAAACAATTTAGCTTAACTAGTAAAACTTAAAAGAGCACTGTGCTCTTTTAAGATTTGGGATCAAACTGACAACAGCAACTCAACAGATTAGATAGGAAACTTAGGGGGCAGTGAGTTCAAGTTAATGGGGAAGGAACAACACCGAAAAGGAGAGTGAAAATGGTTGCACAATGCAAAGAATGTAATCAGTGTCGGTGAATTGTACATTCAGAAATTGTTGAGCTGGTGTATATTGTGCTGTGTATATTTTCAACAACAAACATAAAATCAATTATATTAAAAAAAAAAAAAGATTCCACCAGAATCTGAAGTTAGGAAATAATAAAAGCTAATATTATTGAGTATTTACTGTATGTCAAGCTCTGTTCTAAATCTTACTTCTAGCAACTACAAATCTGATACAGATTTTCTCAGTAGGAAAGGAACTAGTCATGGTTATACTTTTCTATACCAATAAAATAGTGGAAGTTACTTGTCCCTATGTAAAAGACAAGAGGGGTGTAAATATTCATATAAAAGGTAACCAAAATCTAAATTGAGAATGACTAAATGAACTCATCACCTATTTTCTCTGTAGCGTGAGCTTGACTGGGGAGGACTGTGATTTAGCCTTCTAGAAAACTTCTTCTCTCGCTCTTCCTCCTTCGTGATCTGAAACAAACAAAAGCGTGTATAAAGTTAGCAACAGCCATTCCTTATCATGTTATTATTTCAATGGCTTAATTAATATTAAAATACAAGAGTCAATAAATTGTTTTCTAAAGGCATTCCAATACAGTAAATTTCTCTATTAAGTACAATCATTTAAGTTAACCACAAAGACTTTCACTGTATCCACAGCATTTAAACGCAGACTATCATAAGGAATTGTGAGAGTTCTGAATGATTCAGTGGATAACTCAAGTTGCGATACATGCTCCTTTGTCACTGCCCCTTCTTCCTTCCTGCTGCCACTCCACTTATCCTGTCTGCATTCCAGACAGCCATACACTAAAGATGATAGAGCAGAAAAATAGAAAAAGACCCAGAGCTACCATACTAGCCCTACACAAGCCCAACCTCAGAACTCTTTCATATGAGACAGAAATATAGACTCTTGTAAGTTTTCTTACATTTTAAAAAATTTTTGTTGTACATAATTCAATCTAATCCTGATATACTCAACAATATGTATCAACTTTTTTATGCAGCTGCTATCAAAAATGATATAAATAGCAAAATGTAAAAAAGATTTCAGATATATTTTTAACTAAAACAAATCATAAAACTAACCTATATAGAATGATTCCAGTTGGGGAAAAATATTCTAAGTGTTGGAAAAATCTGGAGTAATACATCTGAAACTAGAGTAATCACAGGGGATGTTCTTTTATATAAATACATACACATGTAAGTAAATATGCTCAGATGTGCAAATAGATAAAAATACAATTGAGATTATATAATTATACTACATTACATAATAAATATGTATTACTTATAGAATCTGAGAAAAACATACAGAATATGAGGGTAAAAACAAAGGTCACAACCACAGCTCCCACCACAGAACAATCTCTCAACAATGATAGCAGCTACCATTGACTGAGAACCTTCCATGTGCCACACACTATGCCAGGTGCTTTATATACTTATTCCTCACAACTGACGTAATATTTCCATTTCACAGAGACTGAGGTTCAGAAAAGTACTGTTCTGAGGGTCACAAAGCACTATGTGGTTCAGTCAAAAACTTAACCACGATTTGTGTGACCCTGAAGTTAGGGTGGAAACTGTGGTGGCATGGCAGTTAGAGCTACAGCTGCAAACCAAAAAGTTGGCAGTTCAAACCCACCAGGCGCTCCCTGAAACCCTATGGGGCAGTTCTACTCTGTCCTATAGGGTCACTGAGTCGGAACTGACTTGACAGCAACGGTTTTTAAAGCGAGGCTAAACGTGGAAAGACACTGGCTTGACCAAAAAAACCAAACCCATTGCCATCGACTCAGTGCCAACTCACAGCGATCCTACAGGACAGAGGAGAACTGCCCCAGTAGGGTTTCTAAGGAGCAGCTGGTGGATTCAAACTGCTGACCTTTTGGTTAGCAGCCGAGTTCTTAACCACTGTGCCAAGAATTATTTGAATTATATGACTATTAAACAAGAGTTATAGAGAAACTTATAAAAGAGATAAAATTTTTAAAACCTGTTAAAGTGTGAAGTCATTTCCATTGTCTGTGAAGGTCCTTTAATTGACTACCTTAAAAAATAGCCCCCTACTAAATGTATGTAGCATAGAAGCAAACAGATCTACTGTCAGTCTAGTTATTTACATAGAACACTAATAATAAGACTCCATGGCTATAAGATACTATTCAGAAAAGAAATAACCATAAACGTGAGACTGCTATCCTGAGAAAGGACTGGCCCTTGGCTGGCACCTGGGAACTCGGATTTTGGTTAAGTTCCCACCATTCCCTGATAAGAATGGCTCACTGTGCCTGAACTGTTTGTGTAAACAGTATGTTTTATGCTGAAAACTTGCTTTCATTCTGGGAGTGTGAAATTTTGGTATATGCTAGGCAGAGGTTGCCTATGTAACCAGTCCCTAGTAAAATCCTAGGGCACTGAGTCTCTAATGAGCTTTCCTGATAGACATTTCACATACTTTTCTCACAATTCATTGCTAGGGAAATTAAGCACATCCTGCAATACTCTACTTGGAAAAGACTCTTGGAAGCTTGCATCTGTTTCCCCCTGAACTTCGTCCCATCTACCTTTTCCTTTGCTGATTTTGCTTTGTAACCTTTTGCTGTAATAAATCATAGCAGTGAATACAACTATATGTTGTATCCTGTGAGTCCTCTTAGTGAATCATCAAACCTGAGGATGGTCTTGGAGACTCCCAACACAGAACAGCAAATAAAACTATTTAATTATTCCTGATATGTATTTAAAGAATGCGTAAAGTATAACACAAATCCTTACCTCTTCTTTCTTTATATCTTTTTCTTGGTGCTGAAAAAATTCTACCTTTAGGCTTCCAGATGATGGCTGCTCTGGAGGAGGGAGATAACTCTTTGTATTCACAGCATCAAAAAGTTTTTCCACAAATATCTGTGTCTCTAAAAATAAAACAAAAAAACACAGATTAAAAGACATTTGCTAAGATATAATTCTCCACCTCTACACATCAGATCTCTAATATGATAAAATATACCTTTGCTTTTATAAGCCTAGAAATTATACTAAGACCAATAGCTTCCAAATCAGTGTGCATGGCACACGTGCCATGGTTAATACTGATCTATTCAACTTTCCGGGTAGTGGGGCCAGAATGGCCCCAGCCTCTGAGCCAGTCACTTCCAGTGATGACTAGTCTCCTCCATCAACACTACCCAATGTGCCACACACAAATATTACTATTCTCTAGAGGAAGGCAAAGCGAAAAAAGCTGAGAAGCATTCTGCTAGACAACATTCTAATTTTCTAAGCAGTACTACAAACATTCATTTTCTTAATCTTTTTAACCTATGGGGGAAAAAACACTGGCATGCTTTAAGAATGAGCATAAGAATGTTAAAGAAACAAAAGGCTACCATTTTAAATGAGCTATGGATACATTCAGTAATCATTATCACTATTATCACTAACTGTAATTATTTTATATAGTAATTATTATAAAGCTGTTGCAGTTAAGATTCTGTGTCATAACGAGTTTCTTGTGGATAATCTTATCAGTAAATAACAAGTATCTTACCTTTCTGAAGAAATACATCTAGCTGATCAATACATAATGCCTTTAACTCTTTTTCACTTTTGTCTTTCTTTACCAAAGCCAGAACATATTTTGCTAGGGCTGATGGATCTGCATCACAGCTGAAGAAAAAAGCAATGTTGAAGAAAATGTAGCCATAAAAAACTGCATATTCTACAGAGTCCAATCACTAACCTAGTAGGTATGATAATTAAATGAGCCAATACATATAAAAAGCTCATAGAAGGCACTCAAGATAGATAAGCACTTCTCTCTTGTACTAATATACTTTACATGGTATACGCAGTCATCATCAATATCCTCCCAAATATATATTCTGTATATATTTAAAAACCAGTAGGCTTTATTATTAAAAAGAGAAGTTATAATCAACAAAGCATAAACAGTATCAAAATATCATAAATTAATATAATTAGTGTGGCCCCAGTAAAAACACCAAAGGCTTTTTTTTTCCTCCCAGGACTAGAGAAATAATAGCCAGGAAAACTGTGTGAGACAGTAATAAAGGAAAACTTGAAATGACACAATGAAATATATTAAACAAACAGCAGAAAAGTCTAGAAATAGATGCACATAAATACAGAATTTAATTTTATAAAGGAAGCATTCAAATCAATGAGGAAGAGATGAACCATGCCACAAACTATATTGAGACAACCTGGTAGTTACCTTTTTAAAAAAAACCAAGATGGGTCCATAATTCATTCTATATACCACAAAAAATTTAATTGTAAAATATACAATGTAAAAACATTAAACTATTAAAGTATTAGGAAAAAACCAAGAGCTGCTTTGTAACTCTGGAGTAATGAAGTCCTTTCTAATTATGACACAAAGACCATATATCATAAAAGAGATTAATCTAATTATATAAAAATCAAAACTTCAGAATGAAAACACAGAGTCAAAAGACAAGTGGAAAACAAGCTCAAACAGTTTAACACATCACAAAAAGCAAATCCCCTAACATAGAGTGTTTACCAATCAGTAACATTAACACCACGGGGGAAAAAAAAGACAAAGGATATGAACAAACATGTCACAGAAGAAGAAAGAAAAATGAGTTTTAGAAGAGTAAAAATTGAACCTCATTCATAAATATTAAACTACACTGAAATAACCATTTTTCAGCTATCAGGTATGCAAAATCCAAAAATATTAAAATATATTTTGGTGGCAATATAAACTATACTCTGGTGGAAAACAGGCAGTTTTCAAACATTACTAGTGATAAGAATAAACTGGTACACCCTAGGGAGAATATTCAGACAGTATCTATATATCGTTTGGGAAACCCTGGTGGTATAGTGGTTAAGAACTATGGCTGCTAACCAAAAGGATGGCATTTCGAATCCCCCAGGCGCTCCTTGGAAACCCTACAGGGCAGTTCTACTCTGTCCCATAGGGTCGCTATGAGTTGGAATCGACTCGATGGCAGTGGGTTTATTTTGTACATATATATACCCTTTGAGTTTTCCTAGGTGGCACAAGCAGTTTGTAATCGGCTGCTAACCTAAAGGTTGCTGGTCCAAATTCATCCAAAGGCTTCACAGAAGAAAAACCTGGCAAATAGCTTCCATAAAGATTACAGCCAAGAAAACCCCATGGAGGCAGTTGTACTCTGCACATGGGGTCGCCTAGACGACAAGTTTTGTTTTTGTGTTCTTAATACACCCTTTGGCTCAGCAAATCTACTATGAATTTATCCTACAGATACAGTTACATGTTCAAAATGATTATGTGTACAAGATATTTCGCTGTCAAACTGATTATAAGATCAAAAATCTGCAAATGTCCACTGACAAAGGACTAAAAAAATAAATTATACTGACTCTGCACAGGGACAGGTATCTGGCAAAGCACATAAAAAAGAATGAGGAAGTTTTCATAACTTGGATAAATTTTCACATTAATATATATTTAAATTTAAAAAGCAAGGGGGAGAAAAAAATTGTATATTACCATTGTGGAGCCCTGGTGGCACAGTGGTAAACAGCTCAGGCTGCTAACCAAAAGGTCAGCAGTTTGAATTCACCAGCTGCTCCTTGGAAACCCTATGGGGCAGTTCTACTCTGTCCTATAGGGTTGCTATGAGTCGGAATCGACTCAACAGCAATTGGCTTGATTTTGGGTATTACTATTTGGAGGGGGGCGGTGTAATAGATTTGGATTGGCTTTTGTATGAATAATAAACATATGGAAGGATAAACAAATAATGACAATGGTTACTTGTTAGGAAAATGGGAATTAAGTGAAGGCAGGATAGAGTCAGGAGGGAAAGTTTTTGATGCCTGAACCATGCTCATCCAACTAAAAAAAAAAAAAAAGAATCAGATAATGTTTTTCAACTAAGCTAAAATTTCTATCTATTTAATTAAAGATCATTTTATAAGTTAGGGTAAACAACAATAAAGTAATAGTAACAGTTAACCACTAACATTTACTGAATAGTTTGTGCCATGAATTGTACTCCATACTTTACATACCTAAAGTTCAAAGAATAAGAAATATACATACATTAAAATAATGCTAGAAAAGTAACACATATACCAAAAAGTCTCAATCTGTATACATATCTGAAACATAAAACAGTTCTACAAAAAGAACAGCAGTAACTTATGCCACTGAATCAGAAAGTCCATCTGAAGACAGTGGACAGCTGTAGTTGCACAGTAGAATGACCTATGGAAACCCGATCACAAGTGAAGTCAAGAGGTCTAATTCAATCATCTGTGTTTTGTTTTGGTATGCTTTATAAAAGCTGCACAGAAGTCAAATACAGTGTCAGAGCTGAGAATTGCTCTATTAAAGTACTAATACAGCATTTATTGTATGCTATGAGAATCCCTAGTCTACAACATTGCAGTGATTTTAGAATAGGAAGTCAAATTCTTCACTCTCCTGAAAATGTAGGTGCCTAATTCCCCACCCCTGGACAGTGGGCTGGACTTAGTGGCTTGCTTTTAACAAACAGAATATGGCAGCAGTGAGAGTGTCAGACTTGAGACTAGGTCATAAACGCACCATGGCATCCCTCATGCTCTCTCTCTTGTGCTACCTGTCCTAGAGAAATGAGATACCCTGTCATCAAGACACTCAAGCAGCCTTATGAAAAAAACCATGCACAGATAACTCCAGCCAATGGCCACAGGAGAACATATGAGTGAGCTTGAAGATGATTCTACGGTCTCAGCTGAACCTTGAGGAAAGTGAAGCCCTGGCAAACAGCCTGATTAAAATCTCATGAGAGACCCTGAGCCAGAAACACCCAGCTAAGCTGCTCGCAAATTCCTGGCCCACAAAAACTAAGAGAGAAGTGTCTGTAATTTAAAGCTAAGTTTCGGAGTAATTTGTTACTCAGTAATCATAAATCAATTTTTCTCATAAATCGATTTCCATTTATTTACCAAGACTTGAGGTGAGTTACAACTTAAACAAAAAGCAGGAAAAAACCCCATTTCATTGGCACATGAGAGATTTTTAAAAAGACTTTGTCTTTCAAATTTACTTCAACATACTTAACAATTGTTCTTTTAAATAGACAGAATGGCTTATGATTAAATTTCTCCTTCATGTTTTATCATAATAAGCATGGAATACTTAGATCTGTGATGAAATGACCATGATGAAATAGGACAATAACCTCATGATGTATATACGGATAGACTTACATCTGGTAATACCACATGAGGTATCATGAAACAATACTTATTCATTTTAGGTAACCTGAATAAGTTTAATCAACTAGATAATAATATAACTAGACATCAAGCTAAATCTACTTCAGTTTACTGGAAATCATATGATGCATAATATTATCTGTTATACTGTTTTATTGCAAGTGCTATTTATAAACAAGTTCAAAGTCTCTGAACTGAGTCCAAATGTTATATTTTGATTTAGCACTGAATGTGACCGTTGTGGTAAATTTTCAATTCAATACTAGCTTTTCTAATGATTTAACTGTCATTTTACATTTCTTTCAATGAAATACCAAAGCTATTCCAATTCCCATTCCGTAATTTTTTTTTAATGTTTTAAAAGTGAATTAAAACGTTAGCAGCTGAAAATAGGGAGAAAGACCTTGATAATTTTTGCAATTATTATGATCTATAGATCACAGTTTTATAAAACAGCAAGATATAATTTAATGTCACGTGTTCTGACCAACCTTTGCTCATCTTCTGAAGCAAGCACTTGAATTGAATTAAAAAAAAAAAAAAATTAATAGCCCCACCAACAGTCAAAACAACACATCAACTACCATACACAGAAATTTTAACTTCTTGAAATAGTCTGAAAGGCAGATTACTTTTAAAAATCTGTTAGGAGTTCAAACTATATAAGAGAGGCTAGGTTTATAATTTCACATTTAATAGCAAAACAGCTGAATGTGCATTTGGGAGGCAATTTTTGTTAAGTGCTTTAAGAAGTCACTCCATTTTTATTTCAATACTTTTTAAACCAAAGAGAAGATCCCTGCAAATAAAAACTGAGTAAAAATTTTAACCATAGAATTTTAATAATATACCAAAATGTTATGGATTAGACAGGCAAAACATCTCTCTTTTCTATTTGCCTTCATTAAAAGTACCAACGTTCAACTTCAGGGACAAGGACTAGAAGGCAGGAGGGGACAGGAGAGCTGGTAATAGGGAACTCAAGGCTGAGAAGAAGGGACAGTGTTCACATGTTGTGGGGTTGTTAACCATTGTCATAAAACTGTACTGTTTAACGAGAAACTATTTGTTCTATAAACCTTCATCTACAGTACAATAAGAAAAAAAAGAAAAGAAAGTGCCAATGTTCAAATGCTGTGTTTTATATATTTTTACAATTTAAAAAAGTGCCAGTGTTGCATCATCTAAACATCTAAAAATAACCTGCTACGTAAAATTAATGAAATAAAAACACTTAAGTGACCTAATTGAAAGATTATATTCAGAGATAACAAGCGGTTATTTTTTAAAAAAACTGTCTTCTCCATGACAATACTATTCGTGAGGAACTTAACTAGATCAGTTGCAACTGCTAGTGATAGGTCTGTGATATGAACAACTCATACACTGTCAAGAGCTAGACTTGGGGTCACTGAGTCAAA